GAAGTTGATACGACTATGCAATGTTTGAGCACCAAGGAGAGGCAAATCCATCAAGAAGAAGCGGAACTCACAGGCAAGTTGCACCTCTAGTCCTCCTCCATTCCCAACGTTACCCTGCGGATCTCGACGATCTAGGTCGGCCGGGATCATTCCTTCAACTTTACGGATATGTCCCCCAGAAGGTGGCCCGGTTCCCGAACCGTCACCAGCTACTAGCCCCCCTTGGCCGATGGTTCGATTTTGGGTTTGAGACCACAGCGTAATTCCTTGGACAATGATGTCCGAGGATGTCGTCCACTCAAACCTTCGACCGAGGATTTCATAGAACGAAACGACTGCTGTGTTGTCATCCCAGCTCCCTTCAAATCCAGACGTGAAACTCGACGACATCCCCTTGAACGGACCCTAGCGCTAGGGCCGCCACGGCTAGCCAAGCCCTCACCCTCGATATCCCCATTGTTGTCGTCGACCAGACTCGAGGACTCGATGATTCGATTGTTTAGAATCCGTGGGTCATTGCACATTCCAAAGCACGGTGCTGGCTGCTGTAAATCCGGCGTCGCGGCGGACACGTCGTAAACTGTCGTCGATTGGGATATGTCCTTCGAGCGGGAGTAGGGAAAAAAAAAAGTGACCAACCTGGCGCGTTGAGGGGAGAGAGTGTGGGCAACGAGGCTCCGATCCCGTGTCAGCACCACCTTCTTCGCTCCGCAGTCCATCCATGCCTGGCCCCAACCCAAGCACTCAGCTGGGTTGGAAGGATTGCGCGGTCCTATTGCATAGCCCAAAGGCTGAGCGGCACAGCTTCACCAACCAGAGCCCCCTGTCATCCACCGCACACCATCCCCAAAGCGGCGCAACGTTTCGAAGGGCTGCATGGGGTATCATCCTTTTCCTGCCAATCCCTTCCTCACGCAGTCAACAGGAATCCGAATGGACGGGCAAGTTTGGAGATTTGAACAAAACGCCCCGACGACGCCACGAAGAACATTCAAAAAAGCTTGTCATAACAGGAGGTTCAGTCCTCTCTCCTCCCCATTCCCGAGCTTTCCTTCCTTCCCATCAGCATGGTAGACTGGTAGTTTTTCATCCTGTCTTCGTTTTCGCGCTTACTCCACGACGGCCCCCAGAACTCACGAATCGGTCGAGCAACCGCCAGCCTTAAATAGCACACACGCCCACTGTGCGACACATGTTCATGCCGCCGATGAACGGGTCATTCCTCGCGCATCACACACAGGAAAAAAGATGGTTGCAGTAACAATGGATCGGCCATTTTATGGTCCGAAACACGTTCCGTCCTTCCTCTCAATAGGTGTGAAGAGGATGCCTGGGGACAGACAATGCGAGAATGAAACCCCCCCAGAGCGAGCCCTCGGGGCGGGGCCGGGGGATGCTGTCAGCAATCAATTCCCATGGGGCTGAGAGTAGTCTTCTTTTGGCACCGATCAACCCATCGAGTGGGGAGCGGCTGATTCACGCTTGCGCCAATGTTTGTTTAGCATTTCACGTGATGGTGTTAGTGGTAATCAATCTGCAATCGTTTCTTGTTGGAACCTTTGGCTTTCCTTGGCTTGAAATGAGGGGTTGCGAGATGAAGATTGAAGCTGAACTGCTCAGCTGTTTGTTGGTGGGTGGTACCCTAAACAAGTGAATGTCGGCGCGCGCAAGTTACCAGATCCCGAGCCCGAGGTTCCGCCCCGGATCCAACCAGCCGTGCAGAAGAGCCTCATCTCCTCTGTTTGCTGACCTGCTCCTTGAGCAACAGATCCCGCATGGCTGCTCTTGCATTACGGCTGCCGCCAAGTTTCGGACCTCTGAGAATCTCCTCCTTCTTCGCTCCGGGTTTGGCGGGCTGGGCCGTTCTCCTCCGCCGATTTCGCTGCGCCATCGCATCCATAAACTCCCGACGGAATTCCTCGGCGATCCTGTCGTCGGCAGCGCCATCCTCCTCCTCGAGGGTTGCCGGGTTGGCTGTCTGCTCCGATTGTGTGTCGTAGATGTCGACTAAGGTGGGTTAGTGGCCTGTTTAATCATGCAAAACGAGGCAGGCTAGAGAGCCACTTACGCCTGTTTTCGCTCAAGAACGCCTCCACGAGCCGGTCGCGTTTGATATCGTCGCTTCCGCGGCGGTTCCTTGAGCGCATGGGCTTGCCGTCTCGCCCGAGGCGGACCTTTCTTGGCCGTCCCTTGCTCTCTTCGAGCTCTTCCTCGTCGATCTGCCCTTGTAGTCGCCGTCTGGCGCGCTCCGTCATCTCAATGTTTCGTGCGCGAGCCTCGTCGCCGAGATCAATCTCAAGAAGACGGCCGTGGAGCACTCGCTGGGAATCGCCCTGGCCGGGAGCTGTCGAACTCGTCGCCGGCTGGCCGTCGCCGGTAGATGAGGGTACGCTATCCTCGCGCCACTCCCCATCTAATTGTTGCTGTTGCGCGGCGGCTTCTGCGGCGTGCCGCTTTCGTCTAGCCAACTCGGATTCTACGTATTCCTCCCTTGCTTGATCAGCCGCCGTTCCTGTCTCCGCTCCTGTTTCTGAGGGTCCGACTCACATGTGCTTGTTGACCAACTCGCCGACCATTCCCGTCTGCGGCGCGAAGCGTTTTGAGATACCGCCAATGACAGCTGCCTCCGCTCCTTGTTGAGCATCTGCGCTGCCATGGAGCACCAGGCTTCGTTCCGAGTCCTCCCTTGTCGCCCTATCGTCGCCGAGGCCAGATGGCCCTGTGCTAAACCCAACGCCGCCATGCCTGTGCTTTCGGGAATTCCGCAGTCGTATGACGTCGGCGACCGAGAGGTTTTGATCGTCTTCGTCCTGTTCAACGGCTGCAGTAGGCCTGCTCGATGAGGCAAGGCCGGGTTCGTTTGTTATCTCATCATTGCTGATTGCGCTGTCGAGCTCTGTTGGGCGTTGTCGGTAAATCTTCCTCTTCTTCCCTGGGCGGAACACCACCTGGGGTACATCTTCTGGTTCGGCGCTGGTGGTTGCCATGTTGCGTAATCGGAGTCGAGTCGATGGTGGCTGGATCGGTGGCGCTGTGGAGAGTGATTGATGCAGCCAGCCGGCTGGCAGCGGCAGCTTGAAGATGAACGGACACCACCTAACCGCCAACCCTAACCCTATTGTTTGTACTCTCCACCTTGAGACCAACTCCGTATTTCTAAGTTGACAACACATGAACTTACTCATGCCTAGTTACTGCCTATCTAGATAATTATCGCAAATTTATTTAGGTATCTGGCTTGAACTAGATCAAGGGAACCTTTACTAGCCAAAAACGCCGGTTGTTTCGTGGAGGATGTCAACGACACAGATAAGTTCGCGACAAGAAACGGCACATGAGCATGGTAAAAACTCAACTGTGCTCAATATAGCCCTCTAGATTCACCACCGTCCGTCGCCTACCCGACAAGAAAAAGACGGGGGTTCTGGATTAACAGGGACAACTGGTGCTGCCAATAACAGCGACGACCCGAATCCGAACGAATGCCGAATGCCAGAACAAAAGGAGCAAATATCTATCGAAGCCCAAACAACCCGAAGACCTGTGTTGGCCCGCAAGCTTCCATAATTCCCAACGCCAAACGGCTCGGCACCAGAAAACCAGCCCGGCAGCCCAGCCCGGTGCGCCGGGCAATCCGCCCGGCCGGCTGGCCTTGTTTCTTGGCCCCGGACCCACTCGGGAGATCGACTCAGGCCCGGTTACCTGGCCGGCGGCCCTCGGCCTACTTTCACGGGCTGCCGATTGCCGTTCACCGCCGGAAATAGGCGTGTGGCTTTTAGGGGCGGGCTGGCCGGGTTTGTAGCCTTGTGTAATTCTTCTACTATGTTCTCCCGGGGTGGCGTAGAAAAAGGCATAGGCCGTGGGATGTTGGCCCGCCGGACTAGTAGTTACATGGTGATAAATCCGTAGATTCCGTAGGCCGGCCTCGCGACAAGACGGGAAAGATGGCATGCTTCCCGGGGTTGTTGACCTCGGGAATGGGAGCGGTGAAACATCATAGGAATGGTCCACCCTCTTGTCCCATTTTGTCTGCTATCTGGCAGTCAGTACACCAGCACGCAAAGTACGCAGCCGTGGAACAGGACATCGGGTTCTCATGTCTCACTTGGTCGCCACCCGCGATGCCGTATATTGTCGTCGCATAACGACGCGCCATGTCTTATCCCGAGACCAACGTATGCTTGTACACCGCACTTATCACCGGCTACCGGCTACCGTGTGGATCTTGCAGGCAACTATGCACGGCACCAGTCAGCGGGCCCCTTTCCGTTCTTCCAGATGGGTGTAACGGCGTTTGCATGAGACGACGACCAACGGAAGAGTGGCCAAGCGCCCGCCCATCTAGTCCGCCTCAGCCCTCAATGGTCGGCCCTGAACTAGGTCGAGGCCATATCCCTCCCGTGGTTGTTTCTATTTTCGTGCTCGGGATCACCATCGGGACGGGTGCCTTCCTATTTCCTATGTTGACGCCCCACGGCCCATGCTGGCCGGCCACGGCCTTTAACGGCCATAGTTACCTGATTAGTCAGTCATACTCTTGCCCTACTATCACGAGATGAGGAACAACATAGACGCGTAACAACCGCAGAACCGAGAATGTAATGTATCGTGTAAACAGAGCAACATTGCCGCCGTCCTTCCAAATAGCGCAGGGAGTATCTCAGAATAAAAGACGAATCTAAATCACAAAAGACAGGAGGTGTCCGTCTGCCCATAAACAAGTTTTCCCAACGCCGCCGTGTACCTTCTTCCCTTTGCCCCCCTCCCCCAAGCCATGCCCCAGGGTATGTATGTGACTGTCAACCGCAGGACAGTAAAGCGAGCGAGTGTGATGATGTTCTCTCTTAGAACAACATCCGCCTTCCGCGGCCCCAAACGAAAATCCACACCTCCCCCCTCCCCATTTCCCGCGCAACCAATCGTAAAAACATCAGGTTGTGCCGTCCGTCCAACACACAAATCAACCTCGTAGACCCGACCCACCCCGCTCTCTCGGGCTCACCCACCACTCCCTAAAACGAACCCACATCTTGTAAAAGTATGTACAAAGAACGAATGGCAGCACATGATCAAATGCCCTTGCCCACACCCCAAAAAAGGCACCCCAGAAAAAAGCCACCCCACTCAAATCCAGGCCGCCGCGACAGGTCTCGGGGGGACCATGAAGCTGGCAAACAAGGCGCGGACGTCGCTCATGTACTCGTCGGCGCTGAACTTGAGCAGGCCCTTCTGCAGCATGGCCTTCTCCTCGCGCTCCGACGCGTCCACCATCTGCTCCTGGACGCCGTACTCCTCCGCCAGCTCCGACACCTGCGCCAGCTCGTTGCCGAATGGGTGGTGTTGGTGGTGGTGATGGGGTTGCTGTTGCTGTTGCGACTCGGAAAAGTCCCTCCTGCCGCTGCTGCTGTTGCTGTTGCTACGCTGCCTGGGGTGTGGTTGCTGTCGGGGTGGCGAGGCCGGGGTCGGTGCTGGGGCTGGGCTTGCGGTGCTGGGGAGCTTGGGTTTGTGTTGGTGGTGGTGCGCTGGGGTCGAGCTGACGCTGGTACTTGTGCTGGTGGATGAGGACCGCGAGAAGGTGAAGCTTGCTTTTGTCGAGACGGTGCGCTGGGATTGCTGGGATTGCTGGGACAGCCCCGACGCTGACCGTTGCCGAACGAGCGTGTTGTACTGCTTCTTAGAGGAATGAGAGGTAGTGCGCTGCGGAAGCACCTGCACCTCGGGCCGGGCTGCGGGACCAGGGCTTTGCTGCTGGACGGGCGCCACGCTGAAGAAGCAGGAGAGATGGTTCGGCTCTGGGGAGCGGGACCTTTTCGCAGGCGACTCAACATCGGGACTTGTGGGGGGAGTTGTACCATTCGTGAGCGCGCTGTCAGACATGGACATGTCGTCGTCAGACCTGTGTGATGAGCCCGTGGAGGATGCCGACATGGGGTTGATATCTGGCGCATTGTATGAGAGCATATTGGTGGTGTGAATGAGTTCGACTGGGCTTGAGATCTTGTGTCTGAGAGTCCCGACCGACCCTCTCACCGAATTGCTGCGAGTATTTGCCTTCTTCTCTTCAGCCACCTGAATACTCTGCTTGACCCTTCGGGTCGTGAAGGCCCTGGCGAGAGACATCTTGACTTATTGACTCTTATTCCTTGAGATTACCGTCGTAGAAGGCTCAGAAATACTGGGATTGAAAACACCCGCAGCCTCAGAATAAAATTCGAGGCAGCGAGTCGAATTCGAAACCGGCCCTTGCTGAACGTCGAGTGTTGAGAGCGCTCAATATAAATCGTCGATGCCAATTCTCGGTGGTTTAGTTGAAGGAATGGGTGAGGATCGGCAAGCTAGTTAAGAACTAGTGTCGACTCTGGAGATGATGAGACTGCTGGGACGCTGGCAGAGTCTTGTGATCCAACGCCAGTGTGACGTTGCGCCAGATGAGCCTTGTGCGCGATTCGTAGCACGCCTCCTGATGAAGGTTACTACAGTCGGTTCCCGCACCCTATCAAATCGGTCCAAGAGATCGCAGGTGACGAAGTGCCTGTCTCAGATCGTATGACCCAAACCAGTTGTAAGAGCACTGCTCCAGAATGCAACCTAGTCAAAGAAATTTAACCACGCGCGGAGGCGATTGCTCGGCGGGTTAGGCAAGAAAGAAAATTGATGAATGAAAAGAAGCCCTCGGTGGTAATCCCACAAAGAGATGCCAGTGATTTTCGAAGGGTTTTTTGTTGCGCGTGGATCCAGTCCGTCAACCCTAAATACCGGAACGGTCTTTGATGCCGTTGATATAACTGCGCAGGGGCTATTTTTGTTTTTCGTCTTCGGAGGGAACGTGTCAGACTGGGGACAGTCGTGGTTCTAGATGTTCTAGACGTGGTGGTGTCGTCTCCGCTCAAGGAGGGAAAAGGAATGGAAACTGGTTCGAGAGTCCAAATGGGCCCGCGATGAGGAACTCCGAACAGTTCAACGAATTCGTTGAAGGAGAGTATGTAATGCAAATTGCAGATCGAAAAGATCGGAAGGAAGCTCAGAAAGGGAAAGGTTGCAACGAGGGGGGGTAGGGGAGGGCCCGATCATTAAAGGGAAAGGCATGAGGTTTGGGGGGAGGAACCACAAACTTCCACGCCGGGGGGGAAACACATGTGGAGGTCGGTAGCTGTTACATGCACTTTCACTTGGCATGGCGCGTGGGAGGGGTACCAGTCACCACTTGTGGTCTGGCCATGGCCTGCAACCTGCTGGTGCTGCTCGGCGCGTGGTTCGGTGTCTTTTCTTCCCTCATCCAGGGGGGTTGATCAAAGTGATGGTCCCTTGGGGAGGTTTGCCTGGCCGCGTGGGCGGGAGCAAACCACAATGCAAGGACCGGTGGTGATCGCAAGGGGACCGGGCCCGGTCGCCCCGTTTCCAGTGACTGCACCCGCCCAACCCGCCATCGAGGCCCTGACCCGCAGTCCGTGAGTCCCTGTGAGAGTGGGCCTCTACTTTATCCCTGACTTCTGGTTGGCCCTGGTTGGCCCTCCTCTCGAGCCCACTGAGACTGGGCCAATGGGAAAGAGAGAGTCCCCCCAACTCGCTCACACCACAGAAGACCATCCCCTTTTCATGCTCGGCAGTGGCAAGGACGGCAAGTCGGATTTTGGTGACGGAAAGCGCACACGCCACGCACTGTCGGCGGATATCGAGAGGCACGAGAAGAAAAGGGGGATTCAAGCGCATCACGCGCGTGGGGACGGGCGTCCTCTTCACAAACTAAAATACCGCGCGGTTGGTGTTCTGCAAGTCAGCCGGGCCACCTCGGCGCCCATAGGCCAGGCCTCTCACATGCGCAGGGTTCTTCGCATGAGAATCGTGGGTACCTGCATCAAGCAGAGTTGGAGAAGCAGGCATCAACGTGGTCGTTAATCGAGAGGGTCCACGTTAGCTAAACGGCAGCTCAGCAGTTCGGATGATTGCATGACAGCCATCGACCTGCTCATTTCATTGACGCAAAATATCGAAAAGGCAGCAGCAAAATGTGTTTCTTGGCTTTTGGACTTTTGGATTTTGGGAAGAAACATCGCCGAGCGTTTCGCCGTCATCCACCCACCCATCTTGCCCGGTTGATCGGCCGCGGGCTCGGAGTGTGACCGGGGCGACGGCCACCCTGGCCCTCCCCTCTTCGTTGCAGACTTCTCCCCTGCCCACTGAGGGCTTGGGATTGGGCTCTGTTTTTGCAGTTGAAACGGGGCTAAAGCGCGAGGAGGTGCTGATTGGCCGGGCGTTTACCCTGGTCATTGCTTCTGGAAGGGCAATTCCATCTGAAACGTCCAACAGCCATCAGGAGATCGGTGGCTTGTTTCTTCACCATGCGCGCGGCTGATCTTGCCCCTCCCTGCCCGGAGTGCGCAGTTCGTCCCAAGGGCAAAAGACGCGAGTGCCAGTGCGCCGCAGCGCCGGTGGTTTGGAATGAACTCCGACCCTAGCCGCCGCTAGTTAGTTTATCTTTCGGAGAAATGCGCCCGTGCTTCTCGCGGGGAAACCGCGCCGTCGGGCTCCACGTGGCGGAGGAACTCACTCCACCAGCTGCATCGAAGTCAGACGAAGGCTCAGAGGCTCTGAATGGCTTCCGGGAACCGCAGAACATTCTTCTTGACAATATCTACACGTGCCGGGACAAGAGGTACCTAGTATATATTGCCAAGGCAAGAACTCTACCGATCTCGTCTATCATCATTGACCCCATAAAATTTCTAGAAAAGAAACCGTTACTTCGTTGACGTGGCAGTTTCTCAGATCATTACAGATCTTCGGATTCGCGATCGATCTCCACACTCGATGTCGGGCCGCGAACACCGACTCGACTGACACATGACCGTGGCCAAAGATCGTCAACCAATGCATAAACTGGGGACCCGCCGCTACTTTATGGACATAGTGTATATATCGGAGGCAGATGTCATGCAACCCCCCCCCAGCTGTTTTTGGAACGGAATCAAGTGAAGCTTGCGGCTGTTGATCAACGACTAACTCTTCGATAAAACCTGCTTTAACAGACATAGTATAGCGTGAAACTTGGCCATAACCCAAGATTGGCGTCCGGAATGCTACCATCACACATCCCAGCAACATCTGGGCTGGAGGGGAGCCAGATTAACTCCCAAAACAACGGTCAAAAATCGGGTATACATCTCGGCATATTGAAACATCGAGTCTAGACCAGGCAATCGATGATTCCAGTCCTCCCATCCACGCATACACCCAGTAAAATGCGGTCTAATCCTCGTCCTCGTCCATGGAATCCCCATCGTGACTCAGCGCAGCACCGTCGTCATCTTCGTCCTCATCCTCATCCTCTTCATCTTCACTACTGCTGCTCTCATCATCCTCCACCCCAACGAGGCGATCCTCAACCTCGCCATCGGCATCCGCCTTGCTGGGGACCCTCTGCCCAAACGCCTTCCGAACACCCCCGTTCGTGCTAGTATCCCAGATGGACACGGTGCCTTTGCTCCCGGCCACAGCCAGCCTGAAGGCGACCTCCTTGTCGGGGCCAAAGTTCGTAGAAAATACTTTGCCAACGTCAAAATCGCGTGACACGACCAGCGACGGGCCCTCGGCGCTGATGTTCCACAGCTTGACCGTCCGGTCCGTGGACCCCGTAGCCATGAACCCGGGGATCACGGGGTTCAGGTCGAACGACGAGATGGACTCGTCGTGGGCCTGCAGCTTCCAGACGGTCTTGCTGGCGGCGGGGTCCTTGGAGGCGTTGCGGGCGTCAAAGTAGTGGACGATGCCGCGCTCGGTCGAGACGTAGAAGAAGTTGGGGTCGTGCGGGTCCCAGCGGACGCCCTCGACGTCGCTCTCGACGCCCACACGCGTGGGCTGCTCGCCGGGCGCGCGCATGTCGGCGATGGCCGCCGTGCGGTCGTAGCTGCCGCTCAGCAGCACCGTCGACTCGACTGTGTGCCACGCCAGCGCGCATACTTTATCCGTGTGGTAGCTGTACGACTTGGCGCACTTGGCCGTGTGCAGGTCCCACAGCTTGATCGTCTTGTCGGCCGACGCCGATGCGAGTAGGTTCCGGTGTTTCCTGTTGGCTGCGAGGGCTAGCACCGCGTCGACGTGGTACTCGTCGTTGGCCTTTTTGGACTTCTTTTTCTTTTTCTTCTTTTTCTTGTCCTCCTCCGCGTTGCCCCCCTGCCCCAGGATTGCGTTGGGGTACATGCAGTCGATTGTGTCCAGGTCCCAGATTTCGATGTCTGGGTCGAAGGTGCCGATAGCAACGAAATTTCCGGATGAGTCCTTGTCGACGCCTGGCTTGCTGACGGGGATGTCGAGCCACTCGACGCACAATGGTATCGCAGGGAGCATAATATCATGGTGAACGTAGAGATTGTCGGCCGCGTCCTCATACACGTAGACTTCGAGATGCGCGAGCTCGTCCTCGACCTTCGCAGCTAGTAGGAGATTGTCGGTGGCCAGAATTTGCAAGTCCTCTCGGTCCTCATCCTCGTCTTCGGCGTCGTCTTTTAGGGTGATGTACGGGTCGTCCTTGTTCGAGTCGTAGTAAGCGAGCGACTTGACATTCCCAAACATACCCATAGACTGGGCTTCCCCCTGGGGCTCCTCCTCGTCGTCATAGTTCTCGAGGTTGTATTCCTTGAGGTCGTCGTCGATGTCAATGCTATGGAATAGGGTTAGCGCCGGTTCGGGGACTGTCGTGGGCTATGGGTACGGACTCTGAAGCATCATCGTCGTCTTCTGCAGACGACTTCTCTTTGCTCTTCTTTTTTGGTGTTTTCTCCTTCTCCGGCTCCGCCTCCTTCTCCTGCGCCTCGACCAGATCCTCCTTGGCGTCGTCGAGCTGAAGCTGCGCCAACTTCGCGATGCGCTCAAACTCTTCCTCGTCGAAGGTGTACTTGGTCGGGAAAGGTGCCGCAAAACCACGCGGCACCCAGGCAGTACTTGTTATCATAGACGCCATTTTGGAGACAACAGGCTTTCGTGTGTGTTTTTAAAAGGGCTAAATGGAAAGCTTATAGTCTTTCGCGATTGAAGATTTCGTCCCTCAACTTTTCAGTGGGGCCGGCGGCGGGGCTTATCTTATCGTTCGGCTGTGCTTGGCTAAGGAGAGCTTCCTGAGTGCTGTGCTGTGTCGCTGTTTGGGATGCCGTTTTTGGCTAGTGTGGACCCGTCATTTTCACAAGCCTCGAGAACATGCCCTACCTATCTCTTCTGGCTCGGTTTCATTTGCTTCTTCCTCTTTTTCTGATATCTTGTTACACTTTCGAGTTCGGTTTCTTTTTTCGGCCAGAGGGTGGTAGGATGGCTTGATAGGATTCGATGACTTCATAGCTAATCAGAAATCGGTATTGATGACCCACATGGTCAGAAACGGCAGCTCCAGAAATTCCACAACCAACTTCTCCTTGGAGGCGACGGGATTGAGGTTGGGTCTTCTTGGCAAGTCAACAAGCAACCAGCCCTTCGAGCAACACACCGAAGGTTTTTGGGGTCTAGGCCGCCTACGAAGTCGGACAAAACCAGCTGTGCCTTACTCCTTCTGAAACTCGATATTATGGTCCGCGACTACGAAGACGACCGCTCCAACAAGCGGCGGAAGCTCGACTTTAACCCGCTTCGTTCCGATGATCGATTCGGTGACTTGCCATCCCGCGTTCAAAATAGGAACAATGGCACTTTCAACTCGAGGAGTTCAACGCCGCGCGGCGGATCACGTCTTGCGGGCGCCGCCACACCACGACAACGCGAGTTCGACGGCCCCGAGGCCGGGGTGAACGACCCAGACGCCGTCAACGCGCTGGACCGCGACTGGTACGGCGGTGACGATGACCTTGGAGGCCACACATTTGGCGATGACACGCACAACCCGTTCGGTGGTGATAACGGGTGGGCGGCGCAGGAGAGGGAAGCCGCAATGGTGGAGAAGAAGGTTGGGCAGTTCTCACGGGGCATGAACGTGCGACAAGTACAAAAGCAGAAGGATGTCGACGCGTGGGAGACCAATAGGATGCTTACATCGGGGGTAGCGCAAAGGCGAGACATGGGCGCCGATTTCGAGGACGACCAAGAGGGCACGCGTGTCCATCTTTTGGTTCACGACTTGCGACCCCCTTTCTTGGATGGACGGACCGTCTTCACGAAACAGCTCGAACCAGTCCCCGCCGTCCGGGACGCACAGAGCGACATGGCCGTGTTCAGTAGGAAAGGCAGCAAGGTGGTTAGAGACCGCCGGCAACAACGAGAACGCGCAAAGCAAGCGCAGGAGGCCACGAACGTAGCCGGGACAGCGCTGGGCAACTTGATGGGCGTCAAGGACGAGGATACCGACAGCGCGCTTCCGATCGCCGTCGAGGATGACTCCAAGGCGCAAAACACCAACAAGTTCAGTGACCACTTGAAGAAATCCGAGGGCGCAAGCAGCTTTAGCCAAAGCAAATCATTGAGGGAGCAGCGTGAATTCCTACCCGCGTTCGCGGTGCGGGAGGAGCTGTTACGCGTTATCCGGGATAACCAGGTGGTGATTGTGATCGGAGAGACGGGTTCCGGCAAGACGACGCAGCTCACCCAGTTCTTATTCGAGGATGGCTACGGAAAAACTGGCATGATTGGATGTACGCAACCTCGCAGAGTGGCAGCCATGAGTGTTGCCAAGCGCGTTGCCGAAGAGATGGAAGTAAAGTTAGGCGGCACGGTTGGATATGCAATCCGGTTCGAGGACTGCACCAGCAAGGAGACGGTCATCAAGTACATGACAGACGGCGTGTTACTCCGGGAGTCACTCAACGAGTCGGACCTGGACAGGTACTCGTGCATCATCATGGACGAGGCGCACGAAAGAGCGTTGAATACGGATGTCTTGATGGGGCTTTTCAAGAAGATTCTCCAGAGGCGGCGCGATCTGAAGCTGATCGTCACCTCAGCCACCATGAACTCGAAACGTTTCTCCGACTTCTACGGCGGCGCTCCCGAGTTCACCATTCCTGGCCGGACGTTCCCGGTAGATGTCATGTTCCACCGGTCACCGGTCGAGGACTACGTCGACCAAGCGGTACAACAGGTTCTGGCCATCCACGTGGGAAAACCCGCCGGGGATATCCTCGTGTTCATGACAGGCCAGGAGGATATCGAGGTGACTTGCGAGCTGGTCCGCGACCGGCTAGACGCGCTCAACGACCCCCCCAAGCTCAGCATCCTCCCTATCTACAGTCAGATGCCTGCGGATCTTCAGGCAAAGATCTTCGATCGGGCTCCTCCGGGCGTCCGGAAATGCATTGTGGCGACCAACATTGCCGAGACAAGTTTGACCGTCGACGGTATCATGTACGTGGTCGACGCAGGGTTTTCCAAGCTCAAAGTGTACAATCCCCGGATGGGTATGGACACTCTTCAGATCACGCCTATTTCGCAAGCCAATGCGTCGCAGCGCTCCGGTCGTGCCGGCCGGACTGGCCCCGGACAAGCATATCGCCTCTTCACCGAGAAGGCATTCAGGGACGAGATGTATATCCAAACAATACCCGAAATCCAGCGGACGAACCTAAGCAACACAGTTTTGCTTCTCAAGTCGCTCGGGGTCAAGGACCTGCTTGACTTTGACTTTATGGATCCGCCACCTCAAGATACCATTACTACTTCGCTGTTCGACTTGTGGGCGCTGGGTGCGTTGGACAACCTGGGCGAACTGACCGACCTCGGGCGCAAGATGAACGCGTTCCCCATGGACCCGTCGCTCGCCAAACTGCTAATCATGTCGGAAATGTATGGCTGCAGCGAAGAGATGGTGACGATCGTCTCCATGCTTTCCGTACCCAACGTCTTTTACCGGCCCAAGGAGCGGCAGGAAGAGTCTGACGCGGCGCGCGAAAAGTTCTTTGTGCCTGAGTCGGACCATCTCACATACCTCCACGTGTACACGCAGTGGAAGGCGAACGGGTACAACGATAGGTGGTGTATCCAGCACTTCCTACACTCCAAATCGCTGCGGCGAGCCAAGGAAGTCCGGGACCAGCTCTTGGACATCATCAAGATGCAGAACATGGAGATGGTCAGCTGCGGCACCGATTGGGATATCATTCGCAAGTGCATCTGCTCGGGCTACTACCACCAGGCGGCGAAGGTCAAGGGCATTGGGGAGTACATCAACCTACGCACCAGCGTGACGGTGCAGCTGCACCCGACCAGTGCACTCTACGGACTGGGGTTCCTGCCAGACTACGTCGTGTATCACGAGTTGATTTTGACGTCCAAGGAGTACATGTCAACGGTGACATCGGTGGACCCTCACTGGCTGGCTGATCTCGGAGGCGTCTTCTACTCGATCAAGGAAAAGGGGTACTCGGCACGGGAGAAACGGATTACGGAGACCGAGTTCAACAGGAAGATGGAGATTGAGGCGCAGATGGCGGCGGACAAGAAACGACAGGAAGATGAGCTACAGGCGGAGGAGGAGCTGAAGTTGGTAAAGAAGACCGGGCCATCGAAGGACAAGAAGACTGTCACGTCGGGGGCGGTGGTGAAGCCGGTCCGGAAGCGAGCCGGGAGGGGATTCTAGAGTGAGCGAGAGAGAGAGAGAGGCCACTAACTAATGCGATCTGATACCCGTTTTCAACATATGCTGCGCAAACCGAAACCCAATGATGTAGCTGGTCGTATATATCTCCCGATCCAAGGAGCCGGATACTCGGTCAGTTAGGGCAGGCGGGTTTCCATAACTGGCGACCCACCTCCAGCTCTGCCAAGTCGGGGCCGATCCCGGGGATTGCGCCTCGGCCAATGTCGGCTAACGACATGAAGTCACCGGCCACTTCCGCTTTCGCCTTTTCTTATCGTCCCCTCTGTTTCCCCTCCGCCCTCTTCCCTACCTTTTTCTCTCGTCAACAGCCCAATTGATTACTGCAACTTCCACAATGCAGAGCACAAGATCAATCGCTCTGGCGAGGACCCTCCGGGGTGCCTGCCGGGCCCCATCGCAGACCGCCAGGCGATACACCACCACCCGCACTCTCACATCATCAACCTCTCTCACGCAACAACAAGGCCAACCTCAAACCCAGCAACAGAAACACCAAACCACACTCACCCGCCTCCCCCAAACCCACACCCAAACCCGCCACTACGCCTCCACCCCCTCCACCACCACCACCACCACCCCCCTCCAAAAAACCCCCCTCCACGCCCTGCACCTCCGCCACGGCGCCAAGCTCGTCCCCTTCGGCGGCTTCGAGATGCCCGTGCAATACGCCAACCTCAGCGTGAGCGAGTCGCACCTGTTCACGCGGGCGCACGCATCGCTCTTCGACGTGTCGCACATGGTGCAGCGGGTCTTTTCCGGCCCCGGCGCCGCCGCCTTCCTGCAGCGCGTCACGCCTGCGGGTATTGCCGCGCTGCCGCCGGGGAGGAGTACCCTCGCGGTGCTGATGAAGGAGGATGGGTCGGGCGGGATTGTGGATGATTTGATGGTGACGAGGTTGGAGGGGGAGGGGAGGTTCTATGTGGTGACGAATGCGGCGTGTCGGGAGAAGGATGATGGGTATTTTGGGAGGGAGGTGGAGAAGTGGAATCGGGAGGTGGTGGGGGAGGGGTTGGGGGTGGTGGAGGAACGGTGGAGTCGGGAGGGACTGGTTGCGCTGCAGGGGCCGGAGGCGGAGGGGATTTTGAAGATGGTGTTGGCGGAGGGGGAGGAGTTGAATTTGCGGAGGCTGGGGTTTGGGCAGTCGGCGTGGGCGAAGCTCAAGATGAGCGGCGGCGGGACCAGCAGCTCCGTGCTGATCAGCCGGGGCGGGTATACCGGGGAGGACGGCTTCGAGATCTCGATCCTTGCCGACGAGACGGTTGGCGTGACGGAGGCGTTGCTGGAGGCCGGCGGGCCGGAGAAGGTGCAGCTCGCGGGCCTGGGCGCGCGCGACAGTCTGCGGCTGGAGGCCGGTCTGTGCCTGTATGGCCACGACCTGAGCGAGACCACCACTCCCGTCGACGCCTCGCTCCGATGGGTCGTCTCCAAGCAGCGGCGTGGGCCTGACGCCGGCTACTACGGCGCCGAGGTAATTTCGGAGCAGTTTGAGGCCAAGGGCAAGGGCCAACCAGGAGTGGATCGTCGCCGGGTTGGGCTGATCGTCGAGGGCGCGCCGGCGAGAGAGGGCGCCAAGATCGTCACCCGCGTCGAAGAGGGTCTCCAGCCGGTCGAGGTCGGTGTCGTCACCAGTGGGTGCCCCAGCCCTACCCTGGGCAAGAACATCGCCATGGCCTATGTCGACACCGGCTTTCACAAGGTCGGGAGAGAGGTCGACGTGCTGGTCCGTGGCCGGCCAAGGAAGGCCGTGGTAGCCAAGATGCCGTTCGTCGCGACCAAATACTTCAAGGGGGAAAAGGAAAAGGAGGAGCCTGATGTCTGATCTCAGTAGTGGGTGAAAGGGGATTTTTATTGTTCAACACCGCATTTGCGCACCGGCGCAGGGTTTTCAAGTCATGATTCGGTTCGATGGGATACTTCAACGTTGTGCATGGGTAGCGGTTATACAAGGGAACGAACGGGTAGCCTCTGGGATGGAGCATATATTTATACCCAGCACGGTAGTCACTTCAACAGGCCATGGTTCGGGTTCATCTCAGCTTAACCCAACGAGATGTTGAAAAGTAATTGTATTTGTTTTCTCCCATTATTCCGCTTGCGCGCCCCTATACCTCCAATGCTTGGTTCGCGCTCATAACGACACAACCCAACAAAGCCCAGATATCTATAGCCGCTATAGAAGGCGTATCCGAGCCCATGTTGAATGTCGCCCCTTTTTTTTACCTATGCTCCATATCCTGAATGACAACGCTAAGCCGGACGCGCCCAATGCCACGCTTCGCAGAAGGCGCCATGGGTGCTATTAGTCTCATCCCGAAAGATGGTTTCTCAAAGAAGCTCTTCCCTGCTCTATTTCTCTTGTGCCCATCTCCGTTCCCGTAACGGCATCTCCTGCCCGGACTTTTCCCGCGCCCCGGTCACCTCAGCCCGCCAGGCATAGTACTCTCCGAGTCTTGTCTCGGCGTACCGGGCATAGTCAAAGTCGATCTCGGAAATGGTGGCCTGAATCAAGGCCCAGATTCCCCAGTAGAAGCCGGGAAGGCCACGGTAGTGGTCCACCTCCTGGAGAAGCTGCTCGATTTCGGCGGCTTTATCAACAGTAGCACTCTTACCCGGCTTCTTCTTTTCGAAGTATGAGGTTATGTACTCAGAAATGAACTCGCGCCGTTGTGTGCGTGTCGGCAGGACGCTGTAGTCGCAGTCGAAGCCACCCCACTCGGCGAAGTGGTTCGCGAGGTCGAACGCAGCGGGCGAAGGTGTCGCGTATTCGTAGTCAATGAAGGCGACCGTGGGCTCAGAGGATTTGTCGCCGTTGGCAAGTTGGGACTTGGGCAGCACAATGACGTTTCCGCTCAGGAGATCGCAGTGCGCAAAAACAAGCTGGGACAAGCAAGTTAGCAAACGATGGCATCTCGGAGGGTGGTGTTGACTCACCCCATTCACACCCAAGCCCGGCCGATGGCTCAGCTCCGAGACGAGCTTCTTGAACTCTTGTTGCAGCTCAGCTTGCCGGGCTATCTCGGCCTCTGTCTCGGTTGGCAGAGCAAAGATCCACTTCTGCATAACAGTCCAGATGTTCGGCGGCGGCTTTCCCGGGGCGACGCCGTCAAGAGCCAACTGGAACTCGTCGTCGCCGAGGTTGCTATCCAGGGCAACGCCCACAGCCCCGTCCACTCTGGAGTTCTTACGGCTGTGGCCAGTGCGGGCTGATATGCAGGGCACGACGGCGTGCCATTCGGCCAGACGGCGTGCGACTGCCTTGTAGATTTCGGGCTTGCGCAGATCCTCGGGTTGGGTGACAGCGCCCGGGACAAAGCGGTACAGCATGCCGTTCCCGAAGCGCAAAAGCAGTTGGGGGGCCAGGCCGTGCCTCATGAGCAACTCATGGTTCTGGGCCTCGCGGTGCCGGTCGATGATAAGGTCGGTACCTTGGCCGTAGGCCCGTAGGAGGATGGCCTCCTTATCGATATCGCTTTTGGATAGCCCGGGGCGCTTGTTGACTATCTTGAAGAGGGTGTTTGTGATACCTTCGGTGAAACGAACGAGCTCGATGTTCGAGTCGGGCGACCGCCAGTCAGGGCGAATGACCTGCACGAGGCGACGGGCGGATCTCTCTGGGTCGGTGCTCTCATAGGTCAGGGCGATGCTAGGAATTGGATGCTGGTCCCCGTTCTCTTCGGCGCCCTTGGTGTGTCCATTTTCGCGGCCGACAGCCATGATAGGTAGGTGGGGTTGTGGAACAGCCGAAATGGCGGGGAGACAGCGGACGCGTACGCTCGAGTCGAACGGGTTTCGAGAGCTTGGTTTCTCTAATAAATCGATGGCTAAAAAAGAGCGGGGTGCGTGGAGCTGTAAGCAAGAAGGTTAAAGTTTTCAACCATAAATACTTGCCGAAGGACTTGCAAGAGTTGAAAAAGGGAAGCTGGGGTGGCTCAAAGCGAGTGCTTGGGGAGAAGGTACTACCTATGTAGGTACACAGAAAAGGGAGCGGTGGAGCGGACTCGGACGCACAGGGATGAGAAAGCTGGCAATCTGAAATGCTCTGCCGAACTGCGTTGGTAACTATGTACTCTACCTAGTGTAGTAAGGCAGGTCGTTAAAAAAAGAATGGGACCTTGAAACGGGAACAAGGAGAGCGGCAAAATGAGGGAAAACCTGACGTGGTGGCGCCGGCTGTGCAAATGCTCGCTATGATTGATTGTTCGAGGGGAGGCCGCTTTGGATTCCCGTCCGCTCGCTCACACGATCAGTTGCCCTTCTCTACCTGGAAGTTTGTTGCGTAGCGTTTTTGAAAGGAACCCGCGCAGACCCTTGTGCCATCGATGCCCCTGCTCAATGGTTCATCTTAGGGGCTTCTCGGTTGTGATTTGGCCCAAGCATCGTCATAGCTAACCCCCACGCTGCCCCGCCTCGTCTGGGCTCACCCAGTCACCCAATACAGGGGCGGTTGGCACGTTGGCACGCTAATTGGACACTAACTTTGGTGGTGCAAGTGATGCAGTGCTGTTGTCTCGGCAGCGTCACTGAAGTCACTAACTAACCGCAGCATGCAATTCCAGGGTCTTGCTGTGGCATCTGACCGTCGCCGCCGACTCGCCACTTCCCACACCGTCTCACAACCAATGACAACCTCCACTCGAAGCCGAAAATCTCGGGGACTGCCGGACTGGATCGGGGCTCGAAAGCTCTATACTGACTGTAGTTGTTGTCGATTCCTTCTCCTTTTCATCGGATGAGAAAAATAAGGGGCCTGCCAATTTCGGGATTTTGATTCGTCACTGCCTGCCTATCTTACTGTCCCTGTCTGATTATTGCTTTCTTCTTTCCTCAACGCTCTCTCTCTCTCCTTTTTCCCATGCCCCGGATCCACCACACATCCCGGAGCTATGGCACTCCCCGTACTCCCAAACACGGATAATTTCCTGGGCGTCGCTCTTGTCATCAACCGTTCCCGTGATGGCCCCCGGTTCGTTTTTCACTACCCACCTCGCCTCCTGCCACCTGGGACCTCAAAGAGAGATGCCGATGGCGGCGACGATGTTGACGAGGACGATGACATTTTGCCTGGTCGTCCCTCACGCGAGGCGAGGATAGAGACTGGCTCGTCTTCGGCGTTGCTTGCTGCCGAGCTGGCCCAGTGGAATCATGACGACCACCTCGTGACAGAAAGCGGTACCCAGATTGTGCCCTGGGAGCACGTCGCTGGCTTTCCCACCAAAGATTTAGAGAACATCTTGAAACCGGCCAGGGCATACCACAAACGCCTCTTCCAAGTGTCCCTGGACCCGATATATTGTGTCTCGTACCCAATCCACGTGCCCGAGAACGGTGTGTGGAAGAAGAAAAAGGCCAAGGAACCAGGAAAACAACGGCATCCGCCGAAGGAACCAGGGCCCGCCAAGAAAGAAGACGATGACCCGTTCGCAACGGACGCTGGCGGGTCAGCCAGGAGCGGCGGCGAGAGGGGCTCAGGGAGCGCCGAGGGGATTGAGGTGAGAGACACGTTGAAGCCCCTCACCAAGTCGGCCGAGGAGGCCGAGGATAAGAAGAGCTCCATGACCATGTTCAACCTGGTCTTCTTCCTCAACCCGAAAAAGCACGAGGTCAAGCCCCTCGTCGACATAATGTTCACGCACATAATCAAAAAAATCAACAAGGCCTACAAATATTGTCAACAGCGGAGTGACTTTGTCTGGAAGGAATCGAAGCGGATCCTGGCCCTCAAAGATAAAGGGCGCGAGGACAGTAGGTAGCCTGGACCACCATGCCGTGACCATGGCTGACTCGGCCCGCAGAAAGAAAGATGAGTTTGCTGTGGGAGGAGATACTCTCTACCTCATCTCTAGCAGCATCCATGCAGGACATCTACGAAGCTGTCTCGCTGAATAGGATAGCCGTTCTGCAGCTGGATACCGTCGAGGGCGCAGTAACTCACTCGGTCCAGATCCCAGTCCCGTTCCATGTACCCGATCTGCCCCAAGAGGGCGAGAAGGGCCAGAGCGGCGTCTGGTTAACAACGGCAAACTCGCTCATGGGTGAGGAAGCGGCTGAAACCCCAGGGTTTCTTGACAAGAACTTTGCTCTTTTGCTCGTCATGGACGAGAAGCGGGTGACAGCAGAGCTCCAGAACGATGCCGATGAGACCACTCTCGCCATGATCGAGTTTGTGCGCCACTGCAAACCAACGCTCTCGTATGTGACGACGACTCTTTGGCGTCAACCCCTGACAACTAACATCGCATAGTTTCTACCAGGTTTGTCAGCAATCCAGCAACATCCTCACACCCACGCAGGTGCGCAAGTTTGCCCAGCACTTCATCTTCTGGCGGCGTGCCATCGCCATCCCACCACTGCACGCCCGCGACATGTACATTGTGAGCCCCAACTGCGACCTACGGAAACTACCCCAGGCCGCCACCCAATGGGCTCGCCAGTTTCCCCTTTCGCCGACCCTCCCCAACTTCCTCGCCGAGCTCAGCGTCGCCCCGCGGCCCTACAAGCTGCACTGCCCTAGCAAAGCCCACCGCCCCGTTTACATGGCCATGTTAGCCTGGCTGATGCGCGGTGGCTGGGTCACGCAGCTGTGCACCTTTGCTTACGTCGTCGTCTGGCCTGAGATTATCTACGAGGTCGAATACGCGTTAGAAGCTGAGGAGATCGCCCGCGCAAAGCCTGCCCAGAACACGGGTCGAGATGCAGGGAGCGCAGGAAACGACGGCGTCACCGTTGCAAGTCTAGCCATTCCAACTCCGGGCGAACCAGCCCTAACCGGGTCCTCCTCAACCTTCCTTCCTCTCCTGTCAGACCATCCGGTCCCATCCCCATCGTCAACCAGCCTCCGTGGCCTCTCCCTATCCTTCTCCCAAACCTCGCTCGTCCCCACCTCCTCGACACCCACCTCACCCGCCACCAGAACCAGCACCCTCAACAGCACCGCCCACAACAACCGCCCCTACACACCCTCCGCCACGCCACCACCACTCCTTTCCCAACCGCCGCCCCAACCACCCAACAACAGCACCAACAACAGCACCAACCACCACCCCTCCGACCCCAACAACAACAACACCAACAGCAACCCCTCCGACCCCACCAACAGCAACAACAACCCCAACAGCAACCCCGACAACACCGCCGAGCCCACCCCCACCGAACAAGCTGCCGAAAAAGCCCGCCTCGCCCGCCTCGCCGACAAGGCCGCCCGGGTGCTTGCCGAGCGCGCGACGGCGCACGCGCGCAAGGCGGTGCCGCAGGCGACGGCACACCCCAGCGTCAACCGGGCGCGGCACCTGGCGGGGATGGCGCCGCAGGTGATTCTGGACGCCAAGAAGGCGACGGGCAAGGAGAGTCTGTACCTGAGCGCGATTGGGCGGCGGTTTGGGGATCGCGTGGGTGTGGGCGTGGATGCTGCGGCTAATGGGGGTGGTGCTGCTGCTGGTGGGAGGAGGGATGGGCGGCGCGGGGAGGGGGCGGAGAGGCATGTGGTGGGTGCTAGCAGGGAAAGGGGCACCAGCGCCCATGTGGGGGAGAGGAGGGAGGAGTCCAGAGGTCCAGCGGCAGGTCCCGGCCCCGGTCCGGCTGGGCGGGGAGGGATGGGCCGACTCGGAACAGCTCACGGTGCGGGGGGCGGGGGGATCCGGGGATGCGGTGGACTGGGACGAGCGCGTGGCCAAGGCGTGGCCCGAGTTCTGCAAGTATTTCAACGGGCGGTCGGCGCTGGAGCGGATCGCGCTGCAGGAGGATATGAAGCGCAAGGACGTGTGGAACTTGCTGACGGCCATGAGCGAGTACCTGCTTTGTGTCCGTCATTGGTAGCTTGCTAGACCATGTAGCGTACGAGAAGCATCTTGCGATGTGAGAGGTTGCAGGCAACACATATCTAAGGAGCGCATCATCGAGATAACAACTTGCATTGAGAGGGTATTATCATGAGCCATCGGCCAACCCCGCTTCCAACCGTTACTGTATGCATAGAGATGGTGAGAGTGAATGTGAGGATGTAAACCAGAAAAAGGAGAAAAGGAACGAAAAAAAACCAAAAGTACCCTCCTGTCCTTATGCCCGATCCTCGAGGTATCATCGTAAGAGCAATGAATCAATAACTGGAGAGCCGGATAGTATGCCCCGGTTGAAAAAGCCCCCTTGTTCAACCCGCCTGCGCCGTAACCAGACCGCGCCTGAAACCCCCCGATATGCTATATAACCCCGAGAACGCAGAGATGATGCGATGCAGAAGCGGCGCTGAAAATCAGAGTCGTGACCAAGGGCGAATTCTGCAGATATCCATCACACTGGCGGCCGCTCGAGCAAGGTAGGGAAGTGAGGAGAAAACGC